GGATTCCTTGACTTGGTTGGTGCCCTCATAAGTGGTTTCCAAGGTGTCACAAATTTGTTTAATATTTTTACACATAGACACTTTATTAAACTCACTAGCTCTTAGGGCACGTAGAAGAGTATTGTGAGTTTTGCAATTTATTTGAATCAATTTCTTATCTTTATCATCCCAATCTTTCCTAGACTTAACAACCATTTTGCCATTTACCTCCTTACTTGGAACATGTGAACCTTCTAGTATGACGTTCCAAACATCTAGATCCATAGATTGAATAAACATTTTCATTCTCTTTCTCTAATAAAGATAATTATTACCTAAAAATAAAGGTGACCTTTGGATTGATTGCCATTCACTCAGTACAATTGTTGTTATCTCCATTTTTTTCGATTGAGCTTCTACAAAGGATCTCTCAAAGGCAATTAAGCTTATAAAATTTAAGACCAAGCTTTAATAATAATTATTAGTGTAGAAGTCTCAATAACAATATATCAAGAGGGAGGTGAATTGGTATATGTATAAAAAATTTTTAAAAAATCTATTTATCAACATGAAACTTTTTTACCCAAAAATGTTTTCTAACACTAAAAGCAAATATCTAACAATAAATCACTAAGTAAAAATATAATGAATCAAGCAAAAATATTTTTCTAAGAGTAAATCAACAAATCAATATAAATCTATTTTCTAAGGTAAGAATAAACAATAAATAATGATATGAAAACTAAAAAGAGACACAAACAGTTTATAATGGTTTGACTTTTTCGATGCCTACATCCATTCCTTTGGTAATCAAGAAATTTCAATCCATTCTTAAAGATTCTAGCTTTTTAGTGGGAAGCAATAACCCTTACATAATTCACAAAAAGGATTGTTGTTTTTTCATGGGATCAAGTGATAACCTTTACAATCCACAAAAAGATTCTTGCCTTTTATGGGATTAAGTGGTAATCTACATAATCCACAAGGGATTCTTGCGTTTTGATAGGAAGCGATAACCTTTACAAAATAGCTTTTCAAGGTTAAGTTAGAACTCTTACAATGGAGTACAAATTTTAACTAAAAAATGCCTCTACAAAGGTTGGGTGTTGAGATTTTAAGCTTGTTTGTAGTGAGAGAAAAAATTTCAGCTTAAATGAAGCAAGGATTCAACTTTGAAAACTTGATGAAAGGTTAAAAATATGCTAGAGAGTGAAGATATTAAAAATATGCTAGAGAGTGAAGATGAGCTTGTGGGTAGTCTTTCTAGGGTTTGAAACTTTATCTTAGGTCTTTTCTTACTTTAAAATGGCTCAAATGCATATATTTATAAATAAAGCATGATTTGAAGCCATTAGACACAAGTTTAAATCAAATCTGACCCTTGTTGAACCTTGAGGGTAGACTATATTCTTCAAATTTTCTCAATTAGGGCTTCTATAGTCGAGTATATAAGTTCTCTAGTCAATCCACTTCCAAAGAGCATGTATTTTTCAAATATGGCCTTCTATAGTCGACTATGCTTTTCTTAGAGTCGACTATGGCTACTTGAAGTTGACTTTTTCTAACCTTTGACTTATCAGGGTCAACTATACCTCTTATACAGTTGACTATAGCTATTTTTTAACTTGATTTTCTTAGTTTTTTGGGGACAAGGTTGACCCTACTTCCTTTGTAATTGACTATAACTGTTCTGAACTTGATTTTTTTTATCTTTTTAGAATAAGGTTGACTATGCTTCCCCTTTAGTCAACTAACACTTTATGATATTCAAGTTTTGCACTCTTTCAACCTTTATATCAACTTAAACTTCTCTAGAATCAACTCTTGACTTATGTCTTGACGTTCTTAAAGTTTTTTTATGCTTCTCTCCAACTATTTTCTCATTGCCTTATACCTATATTCGAGTAAACAATTCAAGGCTTGTTTGCTCTTGATTTCTTAGCTAAAAATGCATTGCTTGAAAGCTTGTATGATGTTTTCTGAGGATGTATAGTTTTTCAAACAATTTTGTAACCTTGGAAGATTAAAAATGTAATTGAGACAATTTCAAATGCTTAACATTAAATTCAAGAAGATATGTGCTTTTTGTCAAATCAAAACATAATGTAATTCAAGTCTAACACAAAAGATAACAAGGTCTTATATTACAAGCAGAAATTGCATTCAAATTATAAGCAAAAATTGCATTCAACTACAATGCTTTGACATTTCTATACACTTTTACACCATTTCAGCCTACAAGGAAGGCCAACATTTTCATATGTAATGTGAAACAAAAATGGTAAAAGTACCCACAAAATCCTTATATTGTAGAAATTTGTTTAATTTAGTCTTTATACTATAGCATTTTATTCAATTTAATCTTTATATTATTTTGTTCAATTTAGTCATTATGACATGGTATCGAAAACTAATGTGATGAAAAATTTTTTTACCTAAAAAAAATTTATGACATGTTAGTGCCATGCTTGGAGTAAGATCTTAGTAGATTGATGTGATTGTGTAAAGTATGAATTTCAAAAAACTTCTTTTATAAAAAAAGCAAGCAATCCAATTACACAAGTAAAAACACACATAATTCTCATTACAAGTAACATAATCACATCCTAAAAAAAAAAGCATCTATTAAGGAAAAAAGCATACCTTTTATTTTTGAAATTCTTATTTTCGAATATCAACACACCAATGAATGGTTTTTTGACTAAACAAGTTTACCACTTATTATTCAAGAACGTTTTCAATTTGAACCTTAAGTAGACAAGATATGAAATGCTAGACTATAAGATGGCAACCGATTTTGTCTCTTTTTTCTTCCTAAAACTTAATGGCTATTTTCTTTCATAAAATTCACCTAAGAATGGGAAAAAGGAAGAAAGAAACAACAAAGTTTGGAGGAGGAGAGAAGTGACGGTTGAAACTTTTTTAAGAAAAAGTATGTTCGTTTCTTTTTTTCAATCTCTTCTCTTTTTATTAAAACTCTTGCCTCAAAGGTTTAATCAATATCAAACACTTTTAAATCGATCTTGACCATCTATTTAGAGTTATAGAAGTATCAAACATGCTCCATAATTATCAAATTAAAATTAAAGAATAAATAATTTAAGTTTTTAATTATCATTTAGAGTTCTTGATAAAATAAAACTCCTTATTGAATAATAATTCTTATTTTATTATTATCTATCTTTATTTAAAAAAATTAATAATAAATAAAAGAGTAATAGTCAAATATAGAGTCTTTTTTTATCAACATTGATATCTAGATTCATTTTGTAAGAATCTTTCTAGTATTATCTTAATTTAAAATAACTCTTGTCTTTAATTAAGACAAAAATATTTTATTTTGTATAAATTGAGACAAATATGTTTTCTTGTCCAGATTAAGGTAAAAAATATTTTTCTTGTTTAAAATTAAAACAAACATATTTTCTTATCCAAATTAAGACCAAACATGTTTTATTGCCTAAATTAATACAAACATGTTAAAGTTGCCATTTTTGTACACATTTTAATTAATCAAACAAAACATGTATTCCAACTTAAACAAGTTGAATTCTATGAAGCTAAGTGGAGAATCTATTTGGATATAGATATTCCAAGCTTCAATAAACTTATAATTTTTTTTAATTTCATTAAAAAATGATCAAGCTTATTAACCATGAAATCACTTCACCATAAATTCATGGTTGCACTCTTGAATTAACTATAATTACAAGAAACAATTCAATACTTGATATTAATTAGTAGTTACCCAATTTCAAACCTTATATTGTGAACCCTCATAACCGTCCAATGAAAAGAGGTGAAATTACCATTTTACTTTTTATGTCAATTTTGTCCCTTAGTCTCAAATTTTATCTAATTAGTGATTTAATACTCTAGATCTAATTTTTTAAGTATCTAGATATGATGAGCAGCTAATTCATCAATCCAATAGGCTCAAATTAATCACCAATCTTCTTGAAATCACTAGAACTGATGTTAATGCTATGAACTCTATTATTTGGATGTATGTTCCCGGATGTTTATCTCGATTATAATATCAAAATATGGAGTCTAGGTTTACACTTTATGATGATCACGCTCATGGTAAATCAAAGATTATAAAGAGATTAAACATGAGTCCACTATCCATTAGGATTTTGGTTCTACTATAAGTAAATGTATAAGTGTAAGATCAAGATTTAAGTAACGGTTAAGCTTAAATATGATTCTCATATGATTTTAGTTCATGTTATAGTGTCATTACTCCAAGTCAACCATTTTGATGATTTGAGACTTATCATTCCCTTGTAATGAATCACATTCATTTCAGTGGAAGTAACCTGAATACTACTGCCTTAATACAATAAAGTGACTACCTTTATTATATAGATGTGAACAATTTTTAGATTCAATTAAAATACATGTCTCTTATATATGACTCTTCACACAAATGTATTTTAATATCTCAATAGAATCATGGTACCTGAATAACTAGCTAATAAATGCTTACTTAAAACAAACTCTTCATCTTATTATCAAAATATATTTTCATTATAAATAAATTTAATGAAATTAAGCATGAGAATATACTTGCTTTTCCAGGCACCATATTCTCAAAATTCCAAACAAACATCACTAATGGCAATTTGGACGAAGTTAGACAGAAGGACTCAATTGTACAAAATTTTATAATGTAATGATTAAATTAATCAATTTTAAATTAAAAAACTAAAGTAATGAAATTTTTTTTGATAGAATTTAAAACTCCACAACGGTGTATAGGAGGATATTAATAGTTGAATTGAAATTTTCTTCACTAATTCTTGGCATTAATTTATAGCAGCTGGATTCTAATTATAAAAAAGTGAAACAGAAGAATAAGCTCTTGTTTGTGTGGTCTATTGACTATTGATATCTCTTTTCATTAAAACAGAATTAGGAAAAATCAATGCGTAAACTTGGTATCATTTTGATCATCCAATATTTGATAATTCAATCTACTATTATCTAGGCTGAAAATAAAATTTGAATAAGGCCAATTTTTGATTTAAGTCACTTGTCAAGTTAATACGAGCACTTTTCCTCCATGAAGTAAGAGCATTCCATTAGCTCTTGTTGTGTTATTACTATCCATTTCATCTAAAATTTAACAATCTTAAATAAATCCAAAAGAAGCTTGATTGAAGAGGCCCAGGTGGGCTACACTTTGGGGCCCAGGCAAGAAGACGTTGGAATCGGATTGAATTTGGGAATGGTGTGCTGTAGATTTCAGAACAGCAACCTTAGCCCGAGTCTTAGCGAGCTGGGTCGCTGCATCGTGTATCTGTTGCTGCACTGTAAATACAAGCCCAACGCAGCCATACACAGGGGCTTCAATTCGACAGTGTGCTTCAAAGAACAGGGAATCTACAGCTTGAGCTCGATGATGGACTGGAAGTTGCTGAATCATCAAAAGGCCAAAAAATAGAAAAAAAAAGTGAAAATAATAAAAGATCACGCTGTCAACATTCCAGAAGCTGGCCCAGATTCACTATATGTGGCAGAAACTTGCTAGTTGTACAACTCTTGTTTATAAAAAACCTTTCAAATGAAATGATTATCTAACATCTCTTCTAAGTAAGTGATAATTTAATCTTTGAAACGAGCTAATGGGTTCCTTTTATGTATTTACCAATGCTGACTTATACACAAAAAAACTGTGCAAAGAAAGTGATAAGCATTTGTGAGAGTTGAACTATTAATATCAACGCAACTTTCAAAGCTAACCATGGTTCTAATGATGTCAGACCTTAGTAGGGGAAAGAAATAAAGGAAAAACTCCATAATTGAGGCTTGAAAGTTCCATGGCAATGATGCATAGCCAAACTAACCAACAAGCAAAGTTAAATGCAATTTTGGTAATGATCCAAAGGAGAGAAATTAGAATTATGTCAGCAATGGAAATGCATGGTAAGGAGATTACCTGAAGCAGTTTTGCAACATTGCTGGCTCCATATATTTTGTGAATGGATGCAAATCTTTGTAGATTATTTGAAGGGAAATAAGGAGAGAAAACGCAATCTGAAGGGCATTTCCTTCTTAAATATTTGCAAGCCGCACAGCGACCAGGATTCATGACGCAAAAGATCTTTGGACAAGAAACTAGTAAAAAATCTTAACAAATGGATCCTTTCAATTTTTTGTTATTGGAGAATAAATCTACTGAGGATTTTAGAATACAAGATTTAGAGATTAAGGTTAATATAAAGGGGAAGCTGCTGTGAGGACACAGTGTTAGCTATGAATTTTTTTCCAACCAACGGCTACTTTTTTCAAAATCTGGTAGCTGCAAGGTAACTTGGTGCAAAATTGTGGGGGTTGCCATATTGGAAGCCCTGAAAGAAGCAAATATGGCGAGTTTTACTTTCTGACCGTAGATTTTTTTTTTTCCTTGCATGAAGGGTTTGACTTATATAACTTTTCTTGGTTAATAAACCAAATCCATGGGTTGTACATTAATTTTGTAATTTGAGAATCAGAAATCAAAATTATAGTATTGGGCTGTCGAATCAATTGGATTATTGAAATTCATTTTGCTTTTACTAAACTTGATCACATAAAAAATATAAGAATGATGAAACTGTTATTTAGGATTAGTGGTAAAACCTTTCCATAATTGTATCAATAATTTGAAATTTAATTCCTCATTCATCAAGAATTGGGGATTTAGGAAAAGATAGAACCATAGTTCTGGTGTCTCGTGGAAAAAAAAGGTTCTAAGATTAACAAAAATGGCCTTCAAATAAGAAAACAATCCATAGAACATAAAGTTAGAGGTTGGACCGATTCTTATACGCCCATCTTTCTTTCATTCCGAGTAGCAAAGGCTGTCCACAGCGATTGGTACGTTCCATTTACTAATGCATCTAACTCTAAAGCCATTGATATTCCTGAGTAGTACAATTTGTGGCTGATAATATGGAGTAAAGCTAGCCAATATCAGGGAAACAGGGCGTCAATTCCTCAACTTGCAGAGCTGACCTGCACTCTTCATTTGCTTAAGCCTCCATTGGTTGCAAATCTGTGTCGCATACGCTATAACCACATCTCACCTTTTTCATTAAGGAATTGGCTGCTTGATCTTGATATACAGAGCAGGAGCCTTGACTACCCTGCAAACAAAAACCAACTTCAACCATGAATAGATCCTCCTTTTTGTAATAGTAGGATGCTTGTCTGAAAAATAAATCAAGTAAGCCATGAGTATTGACCCTGTTCTTTTGGACAGAAACGTAAAATTATTATTAGTAAACGACAGAATGTGTAAAGTTTCAAAGTGATTAATCACACATGAAAGCACAAGAAAGGGAAAGAGCAAAAGCATTGTGCTTCGATTGCACCCTTTTTGATCTTCCAAAATTCCACTCAAACGCCCATTTTGAATATGCACTTTAGACGCACACAGCGTGGCACCATCACCCCTTTGGCAAAGTTTTGATGGTACCACGCAAGCATGCGCCAAAAGACCATACTCTTATCTCCGGTCTCCCCAACCACAAAAATCGTCTCCTCTCTCTCTTTCCCTCCCTTTTCACTCTCTTCCTTTCATAGGCAGAAGTGAAGGATCATGGAGTGCAGAGATTGCTCTATTTATAACACACAATATATATACATATATATATATATATATATACATATCATGGAGCTGAGAGGGACAAAGAGAGAGGGATGAAATACTATGATAATTGAAGGGACCTGAGGAACAGAGTAAGGCAGGATGCTGTGTCCACTGGCATAAATGAAAGAGCAAGAAGCCAATAGCCAAATAGTGATGCGCACCAGAATACATATGCTGCTTCCAGAAATCCGTTGACAAGTGTGCGGATTTCATTGTCATGGTGCGGAGGCGTGCAGCCACGCATGTCCTAGGGGCTGGGGACAGTTTCTGTTGTCATGGAAACTTGGACAAGTGGCAATTCTTGATGCTGCTTCACTGTGAAGGAAAAGCTAAAATGCATGCATTTCTTCTACGTGGAACTTTGTGAAAGGAGAGAGACGGATAAGGCAGAGGAAAAGTTGAAGAAACAAGAGCAAATGAAGTGCCGTCTTCGTTTTTGATACCCATATATTAATTAAGGAGTAGACTATACACACAACTATCTTTCGAATTTAATGCACGAAACTAAAAATTTGACCAACAATAGTTTCATAAAATTAGGATATTATCTCATTAGTTTCATAAAATCCTATTTCAACCTATAAAAATTTTAAGGCTTTTTATTTAAGTCCCTAGAAAGGAAAAAAGATAAAACTTTTTGAATTTTTGTTGTCAAATGTGGTACAAATACGTGAAACTTACAGACATTCAATCATTAATTTCGGATTGTAGAAATCAATGAATAACAATTTATCAGTACGAAGCATACTAGATGCAAATAAAATCACTAAGCTAAACTTATTCGATTGATATCATAGTTTGAGAATAGTTCTTGAATAAGAAAAGAAATTATGTGTTCTTAAAAATGTTGGTGCTCTAATCCTTTTTGAGACATTGGTGATGAGGTTTGTGAAGCCTATCAAACTCATAAAAATGATGGTGACATTGGCTAGCATGACCTAGAATTGCAAGAACAACATGAAAAGAATATGATAACTTTGACTATGATTTTGCATTTAAGAGTATTGATCGACAAGAAAAGTAATACAAAAAAGGTATGAGGTATCAAGGTATTGTTCCGTTGTAAAATGGTAGGAGACAGTTCTTTCAGAGCTCATAACTTAAAGATGCTTGGTTACCTTGAGAAGTTAAGGCATCTAGGTTTTGTCATGAACTGTGAACTTTGTGTTGATTTGGTTTTATAGCCTTTACTAGATGGCTTTTCAATTTGTAATGTATCTCCACATATATAGATTGGAAGCTATCTTACCTAAATTGTTGAACATGATAGATACAATTGAGAGGTTCATTAGAAGGAAAAGAGTGTGTTGCTAAACTTCATCTTCCAAATAAAAAAAGAAAACGATGAGGAAGAAGTACGAGAAGAAAGCAAAAGACTCTATTGCCAAGGCTCAAGAGCCTACTACCGACATCAAAAAGAACAAGAAGAAGGATGTTTGTCATCCTTGTTGCTGAAAAAAAGTGGAACAATGGGCATGTAATCATATTATATGTGCATAGCAGAATTTAAATTTTTTCCCATAAGCTAAATCTTGCTTTGCACATTTATCATAGATAAATCCTAACTAAAGGATAATGGTCATAGTTCTTTAATTCCTTGGAGTCAAAACTCAAAAAGTTTCTAATATAATTCAATCCTCTTCATAAGCAGGATTACAATGAACCACAAGTTGTCCAAGTGTCCAACCACCAATGATGATCCACACAAATGGTAATTACGAATAACTTATATGAAGATTAGGATTGCTTATTCTTGTAGAGCCTAATGCTAGCTAAGAGAGATACAATCTGATCTTTCTTTTCACCAAAAGAGATCAAAACAAAACCAAGAACACGAAGATACACCAATCAATGGCAAAGGCACTAAGTCTTGGATAATGTGTGACTTCATAAGTTTCCTTCTTAAACGATCCACAGGCTTTAAAACAACTTTTGCTTAAACCTTGATCAATAGATTAAATAACATGAGTCACACCCAATATTGATAAAAAAAACAAGGAGCATTTTAAAAAATAACCCTTAAAAATAAGGTGTTTTCAAAAATAACCTCCTTTATAATTTTAACTATTTTTAACCAAGTTAGACAAAATTACCCTTAATGAAATTACACGCTATGATGTTACACACCATGTACAGAAACATGTTACACATCATGGTTAGATTGTTACACGCCATATACAAAAATATGTGACACGCCATGGTTAGGTTGTTACACGTCATGTACAAAAACATGTGACACGCCATTGTTAGGTTGTTACACGTCATGGTTAACTTGTTACACGCCATGTACAAAAATATGTTACACGTCATGGTTAGGTTGTTACACGTCATGGTTAGGTTGTTACATGCCATGTTAAAAAAAATACTGTTGTTACACGCTATGTACAAAAACATGTTACACGCCATAGTTAAAAATGTTGTTACACGCCATGTTGAAAAAAAAAACAATGCTATTACATGCCATGTTGAAAAAATATTATTGTTACACACCATATTCAAAAATATTTTATTACACTTTAATGCCTAAACTGTTGTTGTTACTTACAAACTAAAACTTAAAATCCTCTCAACTCTTTTTATTTCTTTTTGTTTCTTTGACAATTTGGCACTAATTAAAGTGTTTCTAACATATTTTTATAAATCAAAATACAAATTTTCTTATCTAAAACACCTATTTTGACTAAAAATTGAAAAAAAATTTATTGAAAACCTAGGTTTATAAATTTTAAAATTTTGAGTTTATTGGTGTTTAGATCCCGAATTGATCCAATTAAAAGCTATTTCAAACATCTATGATAATTTCTATTGTGTAGTTTTATCCAAAATACCTAAAAATGAAATTCTCAAAATAGTCATCCACTCAAGTACATCAAAACCATCGTTTGGTGTCTTCAAAGTGCTGGAAAGAGAAATCTGAAAGCGCGAAAGAGAAATCCAGAGCATAGTAGATGAATGCTGAAGAGAGAAATCAGTAAAATTAAAGAGAGTGGGATGTTGAGAGAGAGAAATTGAAAGCACAAATGGAAAAAAATTATGATGAATAGTTTAATTTATTTGAAATAGTTTCAAGAGTGTTTTTGTCAAGTCATGGCTAAATATGGTTAAGAATAGTTAAATTTATTTTGATGGTTATTTTTGAAATACCCTTATCAAGAAAGGTTATTCCTCACAATTTCTTCAAAAAACAATGGTCAAATGGTTGAGGGTGGTGATCGACAGCTCACAAGGCTATAAGGATAGCTAGATCGATTCTCAAGGTTTGGAACTCTTCAAAATTTTCCCTCACAAACCTCTTAAAGTTTTCTGGATAGTTTTCAAAGCATTTTTAATATTGATCACACGTTTTGTTGTGTTATAAATGTATGGCATAAGCCACATATTTATAAGCAATTAATCTTATTCTCAATAAGACTATGCATAACCTTTATGCTTGACTACTTAATTGCCTCTAAACTAATTGAACCTTTCAATTAAGTCCTTAAAGTTCTTAACTTCTTTTAATAAAGTAAAGCTCAATTAACCCTTTTTTAAATTGACAACTGACATTCTTAATGTGTGCAACTCATTAGGTTCTTAACATATTAGCAATAAATATTAACTATATTCCAAGTCAAGTTAGGATTAGATAAATCAAACTTTTTTGCATTCTTCATCAACTCCCAATCAATTAGTTAATGTTTATAAGTCAAGATCATAATGCTTCATGACTACCAAAATATTAAGAAAAGTCATAGTGTTTTGACTCAACCTTTCAGTGAACAGTTCTACAATGTAATTATTATCCCTTCATCATCTAATATCTTGGCAAGACTCAGTGCTTATTTGGCTTGTTTTTTTTTAGATTATCTACTTCTTAAAAATAGAAGCCGAGCCAAACAGGATTTTATGAGAAGCTCTTAAAAAAAGTAACCTTTTTTTAAAGAACAAAATTTTAAAAAAAAAGACTTCAAGAAAAGCTCTAAATAAGAGCTTTTTTTTTTCTTTTATTAAAAAAGATACATCAGCTTCTTAAGAGAATTTTTTTTCCTAAAAGATCCTTTCTTAAAAGGTACCTTCTCTTTCTCTCCTTATCGATGTCCTCTCCCTTTCTTTGCAAATCATCCCTTTAGGATTTTTATTGTTCTTACAAAGATTAAGGAAAAGAAGACCTTAAATTCAAAACTTTATTTAGGTATTATTTCTTTTTTTTTTCTTTCTGTTTTGTTTTTCATTTTCTTTCTATCACTTTTTTTGGGGCTTTGGAAATTCTTTTTATTGTTTGATATTTCTTAGTTGATTGTTTAATATGACATGTAACATCCCGTACCCTCGTATAAGAGCCAATATGATCTCATCGACGTGATGGAGGGTTGATGGATGTAAATTTAAGTGCGACAGAACCGTGATATGCAAAAGGAATTTTTAGAATAAAATATTCCATACGCGAGGACATGATAATTAAATAATAATATTTTACTGAGGATGAATTAATGAGATAAAAAGATAATTTAGAAGTGAATCGGTACAAGTGAGACATTTTAGAACCCGAAGAGTCAAGTGAAGGATTTTAGAATAAAATAATATTTTATTAATAAAATAATATTAAAATATTAATATTTTATCTGTAGTTGAAATTAGTCATGGAGAAAGAGTATATGATTAATCTAAGTAGGGGAGAAGAAGTAAGAAAGAAATTCGAAAGAAAAATGACATTAGTGGGACCCACAGGCCTTTATTAAATAAAGTACAAGTAGGTAAGTATATATTTAAATATTATGATAACACGTTGATGGGGTGCAAACCTTATATTATATTTGTACATATGTAAAAGGGAGAAAATAGAAGGAAATTGAAATTTAAGAAGTGTTAAAAGGACTAAATTATTAAGGATGAAAGTTTGGAGGGTCGCACGGTAAATAAGAAAAAGTTAGAAGACTTATGTGTAATTCTTAATATTTGAAGTTAAATAGGAATTTATTAATCAAGGAAAGTTGGATTGTGTGGAATGCGTGGAATGTGAGGTATACATGTGATTTGAATGGTGTAACAACTGGCCAATTAAACTATAAAGAAAGTTGTGTATGAAGTGCAATTGGTAGAAAAAGGTGGCAAAGGAAATAAAAGTGAAAAAGTAAAAAAATAAGGTG